GGATGCAATTTCAGAAATGTATTACCTATTTCTTTGTTTGGCTAACACTTGGGCTTGCGGTTCGCTACTTGGATATGGGAAGTCTTAAACCTTTTTTGCTTATTTCTGCACTCTTTTTTATTTTAATTAGTATTTGACATGGGTTTCTTTTAAACGACGTGCCCTCTTCACTGCACGCTTGAACTCCTTCTTACCGTGACACTTCCGATGCTGGCAGCGACGGTCTTGCTGAAAATTCCCCATCACAGGCGCTGGGGGAGTTCTTCAACCTCATAGGGTGTAAAAGCTCAGGGCCTCCGAACGTGGCCCCCAGCTCACCCCAATTCCGACAGCAACACGCGCTGCAGGTGGGGATGAAGGAGATCGGGACGCCGCACGCGCTCCGGTGCGTCTTCGATGCCACCCATCGCACCCGCATTATGGGCTTCTGTCCAACCAAGCCCCGGGAGCGTTGTCTCTGCAACAGCAAAGAGCCCTTTGGACAGTGCTGCGGTCCGATAAAGAAGGCGCTGGAGTCGATTTTCAACCATACTGGAAAATATCCGGTGCGATCATAATTCCATAGGATTAGAAAAAGGCGTCTACTTTTTTACACTTTTATTTCATTGTTCATGCCCCCTTACACACGTTAAATTCCAATGTTGAAGTTGAATAGCTGCTCGGTTACTAAAAACGAGATCGTACGGCCAGACAGAGGCTTATGCTTTGCTTTTACTTCTCATTTGTTTTTCTCATATTTTGCTAGAGGTTTTGTCTTTTTTGTAATTTATCCCCCCCCCCCTCCCCCTCTCGCTTTCCCATCTTCGTGGTGTGGTTAGGCTTGTAGTGTGCGTATTATTCATATTTAGGGAGTTTGTTTTTTGTAGTCATGCTGCGATCGAATTTTTGCCGCCGTGTCTCCCTTCACAATCGACGCCGCTGGGAGCAGCGCATTGCCTCAGTTCTATCTGATCACCGGGAAGATCAAGTCAACTCTGCTGCAAGACGCTTTAATCGCATTTACAAAGAACGTCGGTACACCCCTGTAGAGGAGGCTTTTCCACTTCTTGACAAGGAGCGCTGGGCTGGTCTTCCGGGTGAAGAATCCAGTGAGATGGGAAAGGAAAGGGCAGCCTCTACGGGCACATCTGGATCCGGTGAAGCGACGTACCGCCTCCGCACGACGTTTCTCGGCCCCCAAAACGCGGGCAAGACGTCGCTGGTGAACGCCCTCGCACTCAGCCAGGTGGGTGCGGTGAGCAGTCGCTACGGCAGCACGAAGGACTGGACAAAGGCGGTCGCCACTGTCCACCAGACGCAGCTGCTGCTACTGGATACGCCGGGGGTGGTGATAATCAACACTCAACAGGATCGCAAACGACATGCGGTGAGCTCGGCAAAGGCGTGGGATTCGATTTTTTGCGCCGATCTGGTCGTCTTGGTGCTGCCGGTGGGGCTGGGGTTTCTCGAAAAGGAGCACAAATGCGTTGCTCGAGAGGTTGTGCAACGTGCGGCTTCGCGCGAGCTCCCTGTTGTGCTCGCCCTGTCGATGATGGATCGCGTGCAAACTCCAAAGCACCGTGAGCTGTACTTTTCCATGCGCGCTGACCTCGAATCGATGTGCTTGCCGATCGCTGCCACCCATGAGGTGAGCGTCAAGGACGGGAAAGGCTTGGTGGAGCTGAAGGATTGCTTATGTCGCTATGCCGTGCCGGGGGCGTGGGAGCACACACGGCGGGAATCAACCGACCTCTCCCCTGTTGATCGTGTAGCCGAGTTCTTACGGCAGACTTATCTTGAGCTACTACCTCATGAGATCCCACACCAACTGCGGCAGCGGATCATTGGATGGACTCGCAAGGATTCGGGAACTACTGAAGTTATTGTGGAGGTTTTTTTTGACCGACCAGGGTACATGTTCACTTTCTACTCGAAACTGGAGACGATATGCGTGCGAGCGCAGCAGCTTACAGAAAATGAACTTGGCTCGCGTTTTCGCTTTGTTTTCCAGGCTTTTACTTCTCCTAGTGGTCTTTCCCATCGCTGATCACGACATAAGGCTTTTTATTACATTCAGCTATCGGCATCGAAGTTCCCCCCTTTCTATTTCTGACCTTTACTAATTTAACGTTATTGTATGGTTGGTTTCGGATTTAGCTGGGCAATATTAGGGTCTTCGCCCTGCTAACTTTTCTTTACAGAGGTACATTCAAAGGGGCTGTGATATGAATCGAGCTTGATTTGTGTTGGGCTCGAATCCGGACTATTTCAACACTTTATTCCTTTGCCTCCCACTTCTTTCAATTGACAATAAGAAGCTTCCATCGGACTTTGGTGGGTTTATAGAGTAGCCGACGCTATTTATACCATTCTTTCAGAGGGGAAGGGAGGCATGCCCGCGTGTGAGCATCCCACATCGGCTCTCATTGCCGACAGGGACAGCGGCCAGACCTACTGCACCCTGTGCGGGGATATGATTTCCGATCCACAATTTGAGCTCGACCCTGCTTTCCCACGCGGGGCTCGCGCAGCACTGGCGCCTCGACAACGGGGCGCTGGTCTTCGTGCATTAGGGGGAAGCCTCCGGCCGACTCACACCGCGATGGGTATGGCCGCCACGCACGGGCGACCGACGATCGAGGCCGCTCGCCGTGGGATGTTCGCGATCGCGCGAACCCTAGAGATCAGCGACGACCTTGTTGAGATGGCGCTTGGAATTTACAAGCTCGCGCTCGGACTCAACGCGATCTCCGGGAACCGCAGTGTGATCCTCTGCGCCTGCTTGTACGCCGTTTGCCGGCGGGAGCGCACCTCGCACATCATTTACGACTTCTCCGAGGTCAGCGGCGACGGGCCGCACGCCATTTTCACGTATATGAAAACCATCTGCCGCGTTACGCACACGGAGGTGCCGTCTCTGGACCCCTCCTGCCTCATTCAGCGTCTCGCAGAACAGATGGACATCGGGGAGCGGCTCGCCGACGTCGTCGTGTGCGCGCTGAAGGTGCTGCGCGTGATGCGGGACGACTGGATTTCGTGCGGGCGGCGCCCGCTAGGGGTCTGCGCGGCGGCCCTTCTCGTCGCCTGCTACGTCTTCCGGATCCCCCGGAGCCCGGAGCAGGTCTGCGGGATGGCGCGCCTCACCGCCCACACGATCTCCGTCCGCCTGAACGAGTTCTCCGCGACCCCGGCGGCGTCGCTGGAGAGCATCGACACGTACCGCCCGAGCTCCCAGACCCTCCCGCCGGCCTTCGGGGAGTCCAGCCGGCGCGCGACCGAGGAGGATATGAACGCCGCCACCCGCGAGCTCTCCTCCCTCTACTACGCCCTCGTCACGGAGGCGAAGCTCTCGCAGCCGCCGACGCCGGAGCGGGCGGAGCGCTGGCGGCGGTTCCTCCTCCGCCACGCCGAGCTCAACGGCGTCGCGGTGCTCGAGGAGAACCTCGACCTGGAGCACCTCACCCCGCAGGAGCAGCTGCACATCTTGGGCCTCCCTCACACGAAGCCGATCCCGCCCGAGAAGGTCGAGGCGAGCGTCAAGCGCGAGGAGGAGAAGCTTGTGCTGAAGCAGGAGGACTCCACCTCGCGGGGGCCGAGTGCGTTTCCGAACCGGTGGCCCGCCCAGCCCGCCCGCGGGGGCGGCGAGGGCCTCCCTCACGGGCCCGGCGACGCGACCGGGACGGATCTCCTCTACCCCTCCGTCAACCTCGACGACCCGGCACAGTTCGAGGAGATCATGCAGCAATATCAGGGGCTTCTCATGAACGAGGAGGTACGGGGCCTTCGCGAGGACTTCGATTTCGCGGACCTCCCTGGCGACGACGGCGGCGCAAAGGGCGGCCTCTCTCTTGACGCCGGTGTCCCATCGCTGCAGCCAACCCAAAACGCGGGCTTTCAGGATGGGGCGGTCCAGCCTTCTGCGATGTGCAGCCCCTCTCTCGCGGAGGGGGTTGGCGAAAATTCCGTACTCGTCGGTCCTGCCTCGCAGGGGTTGCTCAAGCAGGCCTTGTATGACGATGAAAGGAGACATGCGTTGCCTTGGGAGATTTGTGTGTTGGCGAGTATAGACGATGAGGACTGCACGGACCTTTTATCGTATCTCATCCTCGACAACGAGGAGCGGATCCGACGTCAAAAGATTGGGGAGGCCCTGTATAAGGAGATGTGGGCTCGCGGCCGAGCGCGGACGCAGGAAGAAATTGAAAGACTTGAAGAGCTCCGACAGGTCCGTAAGCGACAGCGGCGACAAGTCATTCTTGAGCCGGCGTCGGTCTCTGATGCTCTCAGCCGCGCGCTGCGCGGCAAAGGTGCCGGTACGGTAAGTATCACCGACATTGAGGAGCTCATTCCCGGGTTTTCTGGTGACGACGAGGGCCCCAATGACAACTGGGAGGCTGATTGAATAATAAAAAAACGATAGTTAATTTGTGTGCCCTCGAACGATCAAGCAAAGAGGGTAACAAGGGGGAGGGGTTGGGCATCACTTACCCATATCTTAGAAACTGGTCGTGGATCTTCCCGCCCCTCTTTCTGTCTGAACCTCGATCGTACATCTTGTTTTGGTTCTTTGTAAAGGCTCGTCTTTCTTTTTATGCAGGTGTTTGTGTGTATGTAGCCTTCTGTTCTTGGATCGACTCTATTACTTCTATTTCATCGTTAATACGGATTCATCTATTTTTCCTTTTTTCTTTAGGGTCTTCAAAGAGAAATTCATCACTAGGTCCCTATTTCTCTCATTTACTACACATTACTTGAGAATACACACATTATGGAAGGAAAGAATTGCTTTCGCATGCGATGGGCGCAAAAACCCATTTACAGCGGTGGTAATATAGCCAGCGTCGGCATCATGACATCAAAAGATGCTGTTAACAGTTCTGTCCAGGCAGATCCCTCGAAGGATAAAGAGCTTCGAGAGTTGCTCGTTATGGCTTGTGGTGACACCGTGAATGTGGTGTGCAATCGTACGGGTAGCCTGCTCTGCAGCTATACCCTTCCAATTGAGGATGTGATCTTATGTGTGGATGCTGTGACTGTCTTGGAGTCACGGTCCAATGATCCTACTTCCCCAATAGCGGTTAACAGCAAAAATGAAGCGATGGAAGAACTGAGGACAACTTCTAAGGGCTCTGCAGGGGTGGCAAAAACGCGAAAAGGCAAGAAGGTTCAACGCGAGGACGCGAATAGTCCGGACGGCCAGGAGAAGGAGAATCATCCTGGTGCGAGTCCCGACGGAGGTGTCGTTGCGGATCTGAAGGTGCCACCCGGGCGCTACGTCGCAATCGGTACCCGCCTTCTTCAGCTCTGCATTTTTCAAGTAGTAATTGATGGAGAGGAGCACAAAACGACACCAACTGTACCGGATCCAACTGGTGAAGCCGCTGATGAAATCGCCGGAACGGGTGTGCCTGAGGCCGCTGACATTGATTCGGGTCATGATCCGAAAGCCGTTAGTAAGACATCGGACTCATTCGCTACACAGGCGGAACTTAAGCTGATCTATCAATGGACCGCCGCACAGCACGCCATTTCGGCTATTAAATTTTCCAGTGGCGGGCAGTATCTTTTGTCGTGTTCAACGGACGGCAGCATTAAAGGATGGAATGCGTTCCATCACCATCTCACACACAACCTGCGCTGTCCTAGCGGGGGCCTGATCCAGACGGTATACCTCGACCCCACCGAGTCTTTGCTGATTCTCGGCACCTTCGAAGGCTATGTCTCCGTGTTTGACTTCCAAAAGAAGGTGCTGCTAGCTCACTCCCGCCCACATGTTCAGGCGGTGGAGGCAATCACGGTTCTCCATGGGGACACCACCTACATCTGTACGATCGCGCGAGACCGGAAGGTGGCATTCCTGGAGCTACGCGCCGCCTCGCGGGAGCTTCTTGAAAGACGCACCGTTGTCGTCAAGGAGCACCTGACGTGTGCGCGGTTTGAGTCGCCGTCTGTGCTGCACATCGGGGCGCAGGACGGGCAGGTGAGCACCTACCGCCTGAGCGCGACGGGGCCGGTGCGGTTGATATGCGGTACGGAGAAGCCTCCGACTCCGAGACCGCCCCCCGGGGCTGAGAAGGAGGGGAAGGACTCGGAGTCATTGGACGCCATGGTTCGTTGTATCCTCATCGCCGGGCGTCCTGCAGGGGTCGAGCCCCGTCTTAAGGGGTTTTCTGTGGCGGACCGGGACGAAAAGGAGCTGTCGTCGTTGTATGTGGCGGATGGTGGGTTTAACATTGCTCAACTTTCTGCGGATCACGCTCAAGCGAAGTACACCGTGATCAGCACCCTAGTTGGCTTTCTGGATCAAATTCTTGATGTCAAGCTGCTTCCGGCCGCGGCTGGCGATGTCTATGAGCGAATTGTTGTGAATAACAGTAAGGACGTGTTTCTTTACCACTCCCCTGGCTGCCTCTCAAGGCAGGCACTGAGAGGGCACTCTGGGATTGTCATGTGCTGCGCTGTAAGCAGCGATGGCTCCCTCATCGCGACTGGGGGGGTCGACACCGAGGTGCGTTTCTGGTCGACCAAGACGTGGCAGACGGTAGCGTGTGGGGTTGGCGGCCACACCGCCGAGATCTCGTCCATGTGTTTCAACGCGAAACAATCAGCGGAGAGTTTGCTGCTGTTTACGATTTCAGCTGATGAGAACCTGCGACTTTGGGATGCCGGGAAGAGCGTGCTGCCGTTACTCAAGCGATCCGCAAGTGACGAAGCAGCGCCACCACTGCAGTTTTCGCATCGGTCTGGTGTCAACTCAGCGCACGCGGGGCAGGTCTTTGCCCTTGCGGTTTCTCCGAACGACCAGTACGTCGCGACCGGCGGGAAGGACAAGTTCGTCCACCTCTGGAATCTTACAGGTAAGAAGCTATTCAAGGAGGCGGCGCTTAAAGGGCACCGTAGGGGAATCTCAGTGTTGGCGTTCTCACCTGCTGACCGCGTTCTCGCGTCCGCGTCGAGCGACGGCGCCGTCCGCCTCTGGTCGCTTGTGTCGTTGGCCTGCGTTAAAACCTTACAGGCAGATAAAACGCCAGTCCTGCAGCTTGCCTTTTTCAACCAAGGGACGCAGCTAGTCACCGGGAACTCGGACGGCGTGCTTCGTGTGTGGGCCCTCGCCGCCGCGGAGGCGGTCTGGTCGTCCGAACTGCACAGCGGCAAAATATGGGCTCTAGCCGTGAAGGAGGTACCCGAGACGGGTGAAACGCTTTTCTTTTCCGGCGCCACCGATGGCTCGCTTATCGCGACCGAGGACTTTACCGCGGAGGAGGCGGAGATCCTCCGTCAGGAGCGCCGCGAAGGGATTTTACAGGAGCAGACTCTCGCCAATGCGATCCGACGCGGCGAGTTCGCCAAGGCCTTCTCCCTCGCTCTCCAGCTGAGCCATCCACGGCACCTGCGGCAGGTGTTGGTGCAGTGGTGCGCCAAAGATCTGACGCTCTGTGAGGACACGCTGAAATCCGAAATTATTCCATGCTTAACGAAGGAAGACCTGTTGCGGCTTCTTAATTTTTCGAGGGAGTGGCTCACTAACAGCCGACATTACAACGTCGCCAGTGTGGTCCTCAGCGCGTTTTTTGGAGCGTATCACTACGTCGATATCGCAAAGATCCCATCGATGGGCGGACTTGTGGAAGCATTTCTTGCGTACTCCAAAAAGCACAGTCAGCGCCAGCATAACTTGTTATGGCGGACCTATTACCTGGACTACCTTACACACGCGATGGAGCCAAATAAATTAACTACGATGCCACCTTTTTATGAGCAGACGGAAAACTGTTTACAGGACGCGTTGTCAGAGAAAGGCGTCGAGGTCGGCGATGCGGATGAGGTTGGCGAGCCTCCTAAGTCTCGTGTGCGTGTTTAAAGCGTGAATAGAGAAAAGCGGGGAGGGGAACGATCGAGGTATGGGTTGACAGCATGAGGGAAAGGGGAGAGGAGGTTAATAGAATACAGTAAGAGAATGGGAAACAATACCATTTCGGAGGGATGGTTCGCCTATTATTAGTTCACGAGACCATGTTGATTTGCCTCCTCAGCATCATAAAGAGTAGCGTGTTATTGTACTACTTGCGCTGTATTGTTCTAATTAAACGAGTAAGCTAATCTGAAAGACGAACGGAGGGAAGCTAAGAAGCTGTGTTTGTAAGTTATATCTTTGATATACAAAAACAGTCATGCTTAGTCTCACCCAATTGATCCGGATTCCTTTTCTTACGTGTATGTATGCATGTATGTGTGTGTGTGTGTGTGTGTGTGCATTATAAGCCGCTTCTTAATAATCTTCTCTTAGCACATTTCTTGTTCTGTTTGTTATGGAAGCATTTTTCCTTGAAGGAAAACATTTTATTATTCTAGTATTTTTTAAAGATACACAATCTGTATTGAACCTTACTTCATTTTAAGGGGATCTCTAAAGATATCAATATAGGGTCTTTTTGTTTAAGGATTGTTTCCGTGGAACTGCATTTTTTCTTGCATATCAGACATAAAGAGTTTTAGAATAAACTCTGTTGCTCTGCCGTGTAAGACATCAACAATATTTTATTTTCATTTCTTACATATATATATATATATATATATATATATACTGTGCTTGGAAGTGATCTTGTTTCGATTGGTCCAGTTAAATAACCCTCCGCTTTATCAAGAAATCGACCCTGGGCATGGCCACGGAGGTGATTCAATCTTTGTCAAGTAGATTTGTATCCTTGGAGGATATCATACAATCCCAAGAAAGTATCCTCACATCCCTTTTGCAACGTCTTGCTGGCGTGGAGAAGTTTGTTGGGAATGAGGTGCGACAGCGAGAGCAAGGTCAGCAGCAACTTAACGGATTGCTTAATGAACAAAGCAATGGTATCACTGCTCTCTCGGCAAAAACGAGTACCCTTCTACAGTCTCAGAGTGATCGCATAAGTACTTTGCAGGCTGATGGACAAGGCTTTCGAGCTGCTTTGGAGGGGCTTGACAAGCGATTTGACGCTAGTCTGCACGGCCTTGATCAAAAACTGCAGATCAGCGTTGATGCAGTGTACACCCGTATCCGTTCCGTTGAGGATTCTAACACGGAGGCCATGCGAACATTGAACGCTGCCATGCAAAACCAAGCCCAGGCGCTCCAGGCCGTCGACACGTACGCCCGCGAGTCGACTCAGGTGATGCAGCAGCAGGTTAAGGCGGACCTCATACGCGCCGAGCAGCGCACGAGCGCCTTGGAGACGAGCATGCGGGAGGCACTGCGGGAGGTGCATGGCTCCTTGACGAGGGATCTGGAGAACACGAGATCCCATCTAGAGCACACCATTGAGACCGTTACACATCAGCAGAATGCTTCTATGAAGCTACTCGATGACCGTGTACAAGAGAGGATAGTGCAGTGCGTTCAGCAAATGAATCATAGCCTTCAGGAGCTTTCTGAACGAATGACAGCGAGTTATGTTTCCCTCCAGGCCTCGCTTCAATCTTCTCATGAGGCCCTTAAAGCTGACATTGCCAGTACCATGCAATTTAGTCAGGGTGTCGACAACCAGCAAAAGACATGTCATCAGATGGTCCTGCAAGAGCTCTCAAACCACAAGGCTCAGATGGAGGAAATCGATAGGAATTGGTCCTCAAGTGTATTAGAACTAGGCACACGAACAAGGGAAGATATGCTAAACCTTAGAGATCAGTGGCAGGCAACTTTCCATGTGTTTGAGGACCAACTCGCAGCTGTCCAGGAGCGCATTAACACTGTTTCTTCTGATTTTGCGGGTCAAATTAGTGATTTGAACAAACTTCTTCTAGAGAGGTTTGTGTCCCCTTTAGAACTAGTACACATAGAAGTGAACAAGCAGGCTGAGTGCATGGTAGATTTCTACAAAAGTCTAGAAAATGTGCGAGGCCAATTGCGACTTTCTATGAACGAAGTAGAACAAAATCTGACGCAGATTCGCAGCACGATGGAGACTGCTATTCGTGCTACTCACTTGGATTTGCAAAACCAAATTCGTGAGCTTTCCGAATTTATTTCCCTTGAGCAGGAGCGGACGAGCGATGAAAATGTAGAAAAAAAGATCAATCAAGCATTGGAAGGTTTACCTGACGATGAAAACTGTCCGTTTGTGACTTGGAAGGACACGGAACGCATGCATAAACAGATGGAGTCTTTGGAAAATGTGTTGAAGAAGGAGTTGAGTTCATTAAATAATGCTGATGAGAAGCTAAATCATCGTGTCGATTATGTTGAGTCCCGACAGCGAGTTATGGATTTAACTAATGATGTAGTGTCTACACTCTCCGCTCGGGGTTTAAGAGGATCAAGTGCGGGCAATTCGGTATCAGCGCCTTTCCGTATTAGCGACATACCTAACGATCTCACTGACAATGCTCAACTGAACCGTTATATTAAGGATATACACTCCTTATGCGATAGTCTCATGAAAAGCGCTGAGGAAGCGGAGGAAGCGAAAAATATTTCAATTGAGGCTTCCATTAAGGCACGTGAAGCCCTTGCTGTAGTTTTGAAGGTTCAGAAGAAGCTGCATCCTGATTCTGCTTCGCTAGAAAAGGGCAAGGCATCACAGTCTTACAGTCCACGGAGAGCATCATCGGCACACAATCCAGCGACAGGCGAGTTGCGACGTAATAGTCATAAGCCGCATGATAAGAAACTAAGCGACGGTGCAGCTTCACCAGAATATTTAGATTACGTATTTCCAACAATAAATAACGAGTCTTCAAGCACTAAGGTAAGAAATGGTGATCCTAGACTAGGTTCGTTTCGATCCTTGTCAAGGAAAGATGACACAAGGGGAAAAGATAACTACCAACCGTATCAAACCTTACCGTTAGTAATTGTAGACAACGCTGACACTCAGTATTTTCAAGACAATTTACCGAGTTCAAGAAGTGCTTCTCGTGAGAAGGGCCATACATCTACCACACATCCCAGTATGTCGACTAAGTTCGAAAGAGACAAGAGGCCTTCATCAGGCTCAGCACGCCTCGGAAGCTCGTCATCGATGTCTAAGAATAAGAGGTCTCCCTCCCGTGATAGGGACCGTTCGCCTGGCCCCCGTCCTGGCTTGTCTTCTAGGTCTGAACAGGATAAGAAGGTTTCACCAGGATCAGCACGCCTCGGAAGCTCGTCATCGATGTCTAAGAATAAGAGGCCCTCCTCCCGTGATAGGGACCGTTCGCCTGGCTCCCGTCCTGGCTTGTCTTCTATGTCTGAACAGGATAAGAAGGTTTCACCGAGATCCACACGCCCCGGTAGCTCATCGATTTCTAGGAATCATAAAACCAACCCCTTGTCAGGGGATGGTTTGGTGTCCTCATCTCAGCCTATTTCCCAAAATATGTTTTCAAGACTGATTTCCTTCAAAAATTTCTTTTCATCACCCTCTAAAGCTTCAAATGTGCCTTCTACTAACCCGCTGAAGAGCCATGGTGATGCCAAGAAAAAGGCTACGGCTGCCTCTTATCACCTCCCTCCCCTGCAAACCCCCACGCGAGAAAAGGACCTAAAAAAATCATCAGGTCTTCCGTCGGGGTCTTCGGCAAAGTCGAAGAAGGCCTCGAAGTTACATTCCTCGAAAAGGCCTTCGTCAGTTGAGGAGTTGATGAGGGATGGCTCTCTTTCATCTGTGCTGTCGAACCTGGCGCCAAAGGACCGAAAGAAGGATAGTGGTCATGTGAGGAGACTTTCTAACCAAGAGTTGGTGAGACTAATGTCTGATATTTCCCTAGTTAATTCACGTAGTATGGATGAAAGCAGTCTTCGACTTAGTCAACAGCCTAAAAAATCCCGTAATGGGTCTTCTCGACCTAACGATAAAGGTAAACGCAGTAATGGTCCAAGTGCATCGCCAACGACGGATCCAAATGCAGAGAGACCTCCATCTAGGCCTGGTTCAGTACATGGAACGTCCATGAAACTTCATCCCCGTCCAGGCTCTACATCTTCGCGACACAGTATTAAAGGTTCAGGAAGTGATTTGAATGAATCTTTGCAATCTGTGCACCTTGGCCCATATCGCAGACCTTCATCAGAATTTGCGCCCACCCTGTCTCTTGGGAAAAAACGCAAAAAGTAGGGAAACGACCTTCTACACACCTAAAGAAATTGATAATAAGTCACTAAATGAGGTGGTTCACGGTGCAATGACAGGATAAACTCCATATCTTATGCATCTTCCACCTAATTATATAAATAGTACGGACAATTAATTTCGTTTTTCTGCGTACTTCATCAACCATTGTACATTTTCTATTTTTGTTTGTATAACAAACTTTATTATTCCTTCAAACACCTATATTAATCGTTGTAGAGAGAGGGGTCTTTTTATTGTACAGTTTACCCTCTTTTCGTATATCCAGAGGCTCTTCAGGCCCTCTTTCCGCCAGCTCTGTGTTATTGTCCAGCAATATCCATCTTGCAGATCCTTATACATACTACAGGTGTTTTAACTTGCTTTGATATTCCTTGTTGTATCGTGTTTGAGGTTTTTATGTCGTTTAACTCCATTTTGTTGAACGTATCAACGTGAATGGGTTAACAGCTTCTTGGAAACATGAGTTGATTAGCCGGGAGAACTATTGAGTTTGAATTTTTTAAAAAAATTGTGTCTGGCTCTGTCTTCCCTTCAGTTGCTTTGTACGTGAGTTTATAAAGTCTGATTAATAGAGGTCCGCCCAATCTTTTTATGTAAATGTAAAACCATAACTCGTCTTCTTCGCTTCTGTGTTCCTGTATATGACCCATAGTGTACAAATAAACCATGAATCTGCAATACAAAAGTTTGATTATGGATGCTAATGCTATTTTTACTATCTCTCAGTTTCATATACTTGTAAACAACTCACAAATTGGTTTTTATTACTCTTTAGGCACAGCTTTTATATTTTATTATTCACTTATTTTGAGATGGGAAGAAGGAAAGCAAAGGCGCAGGCCAAGTACTTGCCTCAGGATGCGGTTACATCTGAGGACAATCTATCATCAAGGCCCGATCCAAACGATCTCGAGGATGCCCTTGAGCAACCCCCAAGGGAAGGTGCCAATGGTGCTGAGGCCGAAGGCACCGCGGACTCTAACTTAGATGACGACAAACAGAACTCTGAAGATGCAGAAAATCTCAAACTTGTCAAGAAAAAGGAATATAAGGGCAACAAACTAAATAAAATTCAGGGGAAAAAGCAGAAGGAAGCTAAACAGTTAAGCGGTGCAAATGACGGTAGCTCAAAACGGGTTGTAAACAATCCGGGTTTCGATGGCAACCAAAGTGATCGCGAAGATAGCATTGAGAACGGCAAGGACGCAACGGAGCCTGCTCACAAGGCACCTATTGAAGTTTTGTACTGCCCTTTTTGTACATTCCCTGCTGAGATGTGTGAGTTCGGTGGGATGATGGATAAGTGTCGCCCCTGGCTGCTCGAGCACGCCCCTGAGTTCGCTGACGCTGACAATCTCGGTCGAAAGCGTCGAATTCTTACAGAAAAGGAACATATCGAGGCTATGATCGCTGGAAAGGGCATAAAGAAGGCGTTGGAACGGCGTGTGGTCTTAGAAGTAGGCAAGCGTGCTGGAGCACGCAAAACTACCACCATCACTGGAATGGATCTCTTTGGGTTTAATCTCAAGGATCTTTCAAAGGAATGGCGAAAGACATTCTCCTGTGGTGTTGGTGTGCGTGAGGCGGCGGAGGGAGCATACCAGGATTGCATTGATATTCAGGGTGATATCTTGACGAAGCTTGTGGACATTCTACTTAATAAGTACCAAATTCCAAAAGAAGCGATATATCACATTGTAAATAAGAAAAATGTGAGGTACTTTGACGATATTGGTGCAACCAAAGAGATAAAATAAAGCGCTGGAGGGTGAACGTCTGGGGACAAGAGAATAATAAACTTTGACTTGGATAAAGATGGGTTTTGTTTTTCTTCCCTTTTGAATACGTCGAATTGCTAAATCCCTCACCATAGCACAGCTGTTGCTCCCTCCCCTCAATGGGAAAATTGAGCTAGGTGGCGCGGTGTGCTCCGATATAGGGATTGTGGTAGGACTTTTTCAGCTGCATGGTTTTGGAAACGTCATAATATATATATATATATATATGCATAAATTTATTTCGGTTTTTATATGAGAAACATAAATTATTTTAACCGCTCTTTCGTTACAACTCATATTTCATCGCTGCTTATATGAAGTTCCCTTCTTGCTTCATCCATTTTTTCCTTAGAATGTCTAGCCATATCCAAAGACTCCTTCTAGGGACTTTTGTAAGAAATGTCTCAAATAGCAGGGTTATACAGCGTTTCGCAGGTAAACTTGCGCGCCAAGAACATACCTTCACGGGTGAGACAATGAGAATTTGGGCTGGTGCTACCGCGAAGGAAATTCAGTCAGATCTAAACAATGTTCTTGTAAAACTATTTCCGAAGAAAAGCGCCGAGCAAGGAACAACAGAGCATACTGAAAAGATTGTTCCGAGGAAGGAGAATTGTGGGGATCGAAAGCGCTAGCAGTAAGTCGTAGTAAGGGGAGTGGCTATATCAACCGCAGTAAAGTTTGTGTCAGCAAATTCTATGTTTTCAGTATCTGAATTTCGGGCGATTGCTTCACCTTTTTATAGTCACTAGCTTATTTTACCCTGTGTACTTGACACTATCCTTTTATTATTTTTATGGCTTGATTTTACTATTATGTTACATGCTTACGAATATCCCATCAGTGGCAAATCTGTGTCGTTATGTTTTTCCTAGGGGTCTGGCCTTCTGGATTTTTTTGCACAACGTACTGCATATTAATAGAGACTGTGTTGTATTATCTTTGTTAGTGTCTGATTTAGTTTCTATTTCCTACTTTTAGAGTAAGCGATGCGAAGCTATGAGAAATGACACCTCAAAAAACGAGTCGATGCATCATTAAGGCGACAAAAGCACTGAACACAGCACGAAAGGATCAGCTCAGATTGCGAAGGGTTTCTTTTACTTTGTTGACAATCGTGTTCATGGAACTGTAAAAATTTTGTCTTTTTAGTCCACTAGACGAACTCAGTACGTGATGAAAGTGGAGTTCTAATAAACTGCATAATTCACAAATCACCCACAGTTTAACAAAAGGAATAGAGGCATGTCTTTTCCTTTATATTGGTATTTCACGCCTTTTCTCTACACACATCTTTCTTTTTTACGTCTACAACATTTTTTACCAGCTCAAAGACTAGAGCCTTTGCTCTGTCAGTATAGAATTGACATCATTGCTTTAAAATTGGCGTATAGCCCTTTATTTTTATTTAGTGTACTTAGGTGTAGGTCATGGAGGCTACTTCCTTCGTGCCTTTGCATAGCCCAAAAGGGTTGTCAACCCCGGTGGTTCGAACGGTTGATCATCTGCCAACGCCGTCACACCCAGCAACGGACCTAAAGGATGGGTCGCGCCAACTGGACTCGGGAGGCGGCATCGAGAGTGAAGATTTATCTATTTCTACACCTGTTGGCTCTTCGCCTGATCCGAAAGGGCAGCCTGACTTAGCTCACAAAAAAGATCACCACAAGAAAAAGCTAGAAGAAGGTACAATTCACTCAACTTCTTCTGGCTCAATGTCACAGTTGTCAAGGAGGAATTGTGATGCTTCTTCTTCACAATTTGGACGTTTTACTAGCAAAAAGGTACGCCTCCCGAGTACTGTAGATGATCTTATATCGTCATATGAAGTTCTTTATGAGAGACATGAGGCACAGAAAACGTTATTAGATACTTTTTACAAAGAGATGAACCGCCTCGTGGAAGGCTGCCCATACTTCGCAAGCACAGCTCTTAAGGATGTGCTCCGTATCGCGTCAAAATCTCCGCAGGTCGCGGCCGAAAAGAGACAGGAGGACGGGGCTCCGCCTGTGATCCCGGCGTTGGCGACCACGCGTACGCTTTCCGCAGGGCGAACCCCCGCCTTGCATAGTGAGGGCAACGAGGGGCCTGTGGGAGGTGGGGTGGTTTGTGGAAAGGTTGTTCCCAGCAGAGCCACACCAGCCAGCAGTATCAAGGGCAACGTGGTGGGTACCGTTCTCGCCCCGCCTAGGGATGTATCGAAGTTGTCCGAGGCCGCGAATGAAAGGTCCGTTTCTTCGCAAATGGCCGCAACCCGTGCCGGTGCGGATGCAATGCCAGAGGAGGCAGAAAGAGAGTGTGCGGTGCTCAGAGCAAAGGTTCTGGCGCTGGAGGCTGCTGAGCAGCTCCTTGCCTCTTCCCGTGTCGAGGTGCAGCAGCTGGTACAGGAGCGAGATCGGCTAGAAGCAGATCTCATGGAAGCACACGAAAGGTTTCACAAGGTAGAGGAGGAAAACGTGGCACTTCGTTCTGCTTTCCAAACCGACCAAATTCATGCCAATGACTTGGCCACTTTGGGAGAGGAACAGACACAACACCTTATGGCGCTTCTCCAGGCATCTGCATCGTCAGAACAAAATTTAAAAGAGAAATTGAAGTCAAGAAGGGAATCCATCGACCGCTTAGAATATCATGTGAGCCAGCTTAAGGCGCAGTTAGGGTCCCTTCAGACTCAGAACTCCTTCTTAAATGAAAGGAGTGCTCAGCTCGAGGGTCAGCTGCGTCGCCTGCTCTCTGACGATGCCATGCGTGAAATGAAACCGAAATCTTCGTCAGCCTTTGTCAAGCCCAACCAAGATGGCCCCAACCCGTCAATAGCTGTAGGTGGGGGCAAGGGGGGCCAGCCCAGCCCCAACGCCGTAGAACAACTAACTCCTCTACAGCGGTATAACACCGACACCTTCCAAAGGCAGATTAACGAATTGCGAACAATTGTGGATCGACTCCACAAGAGCAATACGCAACATGAGGCGGCACGGGCTAAGTTGGAATCTCAGCTTGTTGTGCTTTCCAAGGAGAACACTACGTTAAAGCGTGACGTTTTGGAGTACCGCCGTAGGGTCAGCGATATGGAATTGAATCTCGAGAATGAGGCATCGCTAAGGTCTTACGAGGAGCGTTGTCGTAGCGCAGAAAAAGAGGCGATGCGACTGCGGCAGGTGCTTCGTGAGCGCACAGAGAGCTTCGATGGGCGAATGTCAGAGGTTCAGCAACGGCTAAATCTACTTCAAACGCGAGATAAACTTTACGCGAAGGCCACGAAGCACCTTCTAACGCGTTGCGTCTCCTCTACAATCCAGTTGCTGGCATGCCAAGAGCTGAGTAAGCAGCGCCGAGAGATACGGCCGTTAGGGGTCGGTGTTGCGGGGGATGCACCGCAAGTTCTGGGGGCTCATCCAACGACAAAGACGAGGGAGAAGGGAGAGGAGGGGGAGGAGGAGCTAACCAAAACAGGCCGGGAGGATGGCAGCGGGCAGCGCGACGATGCCAGCGGCGTCAAGCAAAGCAGCGTTATGACGGGTGAGGGCCTGCTGTTGTCGGCTCCTGTGCTGGAATCCTTTGCGTCTCCGCGCCCCATGGGCTCGGAGCCCCTGGGGGCACGTGGTGGCGGCGAGCCATCAACCGAGGCCGCGTCGACTGGAAGTCGGATGGAGATTCGCCGCCTGGAGCAGCTCAACCGGGAGCTGCGGCAGGCTCTCGCCCGTTCGCAGGAGGAACTCCTGACGAAGGCGCGCCTCCTCACGCGAGCACAACGCACGGCCTCCAACACCTCTCTGGGCGTCAACGCCTCATATCAGGCGTTGACGTTGCGTCGGGATCCTTCGGCGCTCACGGAGCTCTCCAGCACCGTTGGGAGCCTCGACGCGAGTGTGAATGGGCCGCTGCGGCGAGACGCGTCGGTGGGGTGCGACCTCCCCCCGCCCGGTCGCAACGAGCAGGAATCCATCGCGGAGGCTTCTCGCGTTCTCAGTGAGATCAAGGTGCGGTACGACCCCGAGCACCTCGATACCTGCGAGGCGGTGCAGCTTGAAAACGCGGCGCTGCTACTGCGTCTGTCCATCTTGCAGCAGGAGAAGTGGGCCGCCGCATCACAAATTGAGGCTCTCCAATCCAACTGCGCCGAACTGAGTGAGAAACTTCGGCGAGTCATGAGCTCCAGTAAGGGTCTGCCGCCAACGGATGCAGCGGCGGGGCAGCTGCGCGGTCTCCAGAGCCTCCTGCAGGAGACCCTTGCAGATAAGCTCAAGTTAGAGGAAAAGATTAAAAAGATGGCATTACCAAACCCAGAGTAGCGCTTCAATGATGATTAGGGCCTTTCGAAATTGGAAGAAATAGAGCCCTCTTATGTAATCATTTTTTCTGTTTCTCTCTTACTTATTGCGGAATATATATCTTTTTTGCTTTATTTTTCATATTATTCTCCCACCACATGTATTAAAAGCAAACTCAGATGCATTTATTGATACGTATTGTAAAGTAGGAAAGGTTTTTTTTTTGAAAATTCGAATTCAAAATGAACTAAAAAGGATTGAATATAGACCCAGAATAAATCTTACTTCCATTCCCTTACCGTTCTATTTGTGTTTTCCTTCATTGCACTATTCATGTTAAAGGTAATCTTAGAGAGAAAATTTAGCTTTTGTGGGATCTAATGTCATCCATAGAAGATATGATGGAAAAGGCGGTCACACAGAGCAACGCCTTTTACCAAGATAGAAACGTTGTTCAGGGTTATAAGGACCGAAAGGACAGCATCCGGAAGCAAAGACGCGAACAAAAGGATACCCTTTCACAGTGGTATGGTATGAAGAAGCGACAACTCAACGAGGACGAGAAACAGGAACTTGAGCTTCTACAATACCGAAATTTTATCAATCCCGACACACAGCACCAAGCACCGAAGCGAAGCTCGAATACGTCTTCTGATTTTGTTGAATTTGGCTACTTCGCTGGGACAGGTAGGAACAAGCGAAAGCGCTTAAAGTCTTTTGCAGACGAATGGATTGAGGAAAATCCGCAGTTTGAAGAAGTTGTTAAGAAGCGGATGAAGAAGAATGTGAAACTGAACAGAAAAGTGAAGGCGGCTGCCGCAAGGCGAGCGGCTACCGAGGCTGCTCGTGCCAAGGCGAAGCATGTATCCAAGAGGCGCTCGAAGCACGACCTGTTTTGAATACATTCTATATAAAAGAACATAATGAAGCGAAATAAAGCTGCTACTTTGGATTTTCAGGATCTGTAATTGCATCTGCTTGTGACAGTGTGTCTCGTGTAATTTGTCTTTAAAGTGTGTGTATTTAAGCACCGGTAATAAACCTAAGTCCCAATTCGACTCCTACTGAGAGTGTACCTGGCGCGAGTAGAAGTGTTTGAGACAGCAAAGGTCATCTAAGGGGCGTTCCCATCGTGACGTCGCGCTCTAAATTGTAGGATAATCTTTCAAGGTCCCAATGTCTCTATTTCCGGCCTAAAAGTGTTCATTGTCTCTAGGAGGATTGTGCATTACATTTTCTCGTCCCCATATCTATTAATATCGTTTAGCATGAGACTTAGTTTTATTAGTGCTCAACATTCAAATAGTTTCTGCTCAGCATGTCTCGCAGTAACGTATTTGGCGCTAACTCGCTTTTTTCGTTCACAAAGTTTGGTGCCATTCCTCGCAACACGGCCTTCGAAGCTAACAAGCGAACCCGGTACCTTTTTAGCCTAGAGAACCAGAAACATATTCAGCGGGACCATCAACGTGAGCGGAGGTACCGTTTCTGCGTACAATGTGGTATCATAACTGTTACGGTTAATTTTGACCGCGTCCCGTCGGCGCGCATTGGCCTTTGGGGGCGCTGCGTTGACGACCGCGATTATACGCATCACCGATTCGTTGAGTTAACGCAGCGGGAACACGCGCGTCTGAAGGAGTGGCCTGTTGAGCGGCGCCTAAACTGGTGGCGCTATGAGCGTGAGGACACCGAATGAGGACGCCTTCTTTTGTACTCCGCGGTTAGGAGGTGTCTTGATGTTTGAATATTTCACAAGGACACTCCCAGAATACGGGTACATCCTCATGCTTGTACTATTTTGAACCAAGATCGATCTAAACAGCTCGTTTGATCATATTCAAGAAAAAATAAAAAGGGGTGTATCGAGAGGCAGCATGTGTTAAAAGGCTAGGGTCTCATAGATAGTCGGTCCAATCGTAACGAAATGGACCCAAAAAATAGCGTTTATGCGATTACTTTTTGAGTTTGGTATCCCATTAAGCTCAATTTTGTTGCATTTTTATCGCGCGCATCCTCTTTTTCACATTGGACCCTACATGCGGACTTGATTGGGTTCACTTTCTGCACGCATGCATATATGTGTGCTTATCACCAACCTTCTTTTTTGTCGCTGAGGGCTTGCTCACGACCCATTCCTTATGAAGGCATTTCAATAATGGGGTATTTCTTTTGTGTAAATTCTATGCTACGACTTCTAGAAGCTGCAAATGCAACGCTGACCTGAGTATTAGTGGTTTGTTTATTCCTAGTGGCACGAAAAGTGCAAAGATATCGAATGCAATCTCCAAATCTCATGCTGTTTTCATCATTAGGACTGCTGTGCCTTGTGGGGGCGACGTCTGATATAAAGGTGAAACGGTGTGAATAACGTTGGAGATACGCCGGTTCACATGCTTCTGTCCGTCAGAGAAGCTCAGAGTGACCAGCGGCGTGTTGTTGCACGTTTTGGTCGCTTATTTCACCGCCTTGATGAATTTTACGAGGGTGTCTATTCGATAGATAGGGTGTGTTCGATCACCATGTGGTATATAAACTGAAAGGACTCGATTGTTGGCTTGAATGAGTTGCTGAATCGGATTGCAAGGGAAAACGCAAAAGGCCCTGTTTGATCTTGCTGTATAAACTTAGAATTCATATGAAAATGGTGGTATCCGATTGGGGAAGGGGCTTGTTGTACTCGTATAGTATTTGTATGCTTAAGTCTGCACGAGCTGAGGGAATCTGGTGAGGTGTGCGGGATCGGATGCTTTTCCTTGCCTGTATCGCGCCGACATTGAAGAGAAACAAAGTCAACGTAAATGATAGCGACGCGATTAATATTATATGCGGTTCTTTCCTTCCCAAATAGCGCTCCGATGGATTCCACGCTTGAATTTTGAGCAGCGTGCCGCCCGAATACGATTTTTCGTTTGTTCGTGTCCAATAAGTAGGGCGGCGGTGTTGATTTCGGCCGACTCTTAATGTTCTATGAATTCAAGAAATATATAATCTCTTTTACAGGGTTTCTATGCTTTCTTCCTCAGTTCTTTTTTCCAGGGCCATTATTTTCATGATCAATGCACTTCAGCCACCATTTTTTTGTTCGCAATGTCTTTGAATTTCACTGAATTTGTTATGCTGCTTCCTAAACGACGTTCAATTGTCAATATCAGAAAACACACTTATTCTTTTATTTATGTTTCGATATATTTATGCGTATTTAACTACATTGAGTCTATTATCACTTCTTTTTCGTGTCTGCGGATGAATCTTTGGTTTTTTATTCACTAAAGGCTATAGATACAGAATCACGATAAGCTAGACTTTGAATATATATATATATATATATATCATAGAAGTTCTTACCATTCAAGCATTGATTTCTGTATTATTGTTGCTTTTTCTAGGGATTTCTCATGCCCGAGTTGCATATTATCGGTGAGATTATGAGTGGCCATGACTTTGTCGGTCAGAGCTACTTCTGCATGTTCGAGTTCGTCGTCGGTGATCAGTGGCATGCAGTGGAGGGTCGCACAAGCGGCTGCACGCATATCATGTCCCCAGGTAGCGCTGGCATCACGTGGAGCTTTCCAATTGACGTTCATTACGTTTTTACGAGTGTGCAGGGCTGGCCGAAGATTTCCATTCAGGTGTGGGAAATGGATTCATATGGTCGAAGAGACTTGGCGGGCTATGGCGTCGCCTACATTCCGACGCCGAACAGTAGCAAAGAAGAGGAGGTAGAGATCGCTACGTGGAAGCCGGTGGCGTGGCACCCTAACTTTTTCGTGCGCTTGTATAACAGCATTCGCATTGCTCTGATGGGTGGTAACCCGGTCCTGCGAGATAATTATCTTATTCATACCAACGATCAACGCACGCAGCTACACACAAGAAGTAGTGGTATTATTCGCCTGCAGCTAAACATCATCTCTAGAGGTATGAAGCAAGCCAGCTTGCACTGTAAATAGAGAACTTTTCACAAGTTCCATTTTTTCTTTTAGATTCATTTGCCGCATACACTTGCGGCGGGAACATCTTTCATTGAGCGATTCCTCACTTCTGTTAAGAGGAGTCTTGGTTATGCTGCTTAGCTCTTTTCTTTTCCACTTTGTGACCACGAGCGGGGGAGAAGGAGGAACACCTGGCACCGGGGGCGAGCTATGTTGTCATCATGATGATTGAAAGATATTTGCGCCTGACTTTTATATCGTGACTAGTAATACTAGCGATAATCATTTCGTTGCTTTCTGTTTATCATGAGCATTTGTGCACCTCATTTAACCCTTTTCCATCTTCGCCATTTCCCTGTAGTACTCCTCCAAAAAAGGTTTCTTTTTGCTGAGTGCAATCACGAAGAGATAAAATAGGACCTTTAAATACAGTTATATCGAGCGCGGAGGTGCATCACTGAGTAAGGTAGGGTGAGATAGATTGAACCAGGAAGAGGCTCACATTTCAATGTGGGGAGGTATAGATTTTTTTGTTTCTGTAGATGTGCTCCTCACGTTTGAACGTGTTGATACCAGCTTGCTCGAGGATCGGGCTGGGAAGCCTCAGCAGCGGTCATTTCGTCAAGACGGCAGGGTCGTTGTGACGACCTCCTATCCTAATGCCTCTTTTTTCCTTCAAACATTGAAGGCCACTGGTAACCGCGTCTACGTTGTGAGTGAGTGGGCCACCGAGAAAACGCTGGAGTTGATTCGTCTTTTTGGATGGCAGGATGTTGTGAGTGATGTGCGTCGTTTGGCGCCATTTCCAGGCGCAAGTCGCAGTAATAGTGGGAAACACTACACTTTAGTTAACGTGGGCTGTGAGCCGATGCGTTACTCGAGTTCAGTTTTGATAGTCCGAGACTTGTCGAGATGGGATCCCATTCTATCTTCGCAGCTTGTGTTAGTAAACCACGACAAGGAGGTCCTCTCTTTACCGAGCGAGGGCCCTCTTCCCTCCGTAGTTTTTTCAATGGAACTTCTCTATGCCCTTTGCAGATGCATCACTCTGGCGGAGTGGTGTGTCCGGTATCCGGGGACATCCATAGCGTCCTGCACCGCGTTATCCACTTCAACGTTACTTTCCTTCTGTCGTTTCTACATCCCACCAGAGCACATGCAGTGCGAGTTAGTTTTGCAGTTGGGTGCGCATGGCGCCACCTTGGTGAGTGACGGCGCGAGTGCCACGCATATCATAACCGATCTAGGCGAGCCGCTGCCGTTAAACAGCCTGGGATCGTCGTCATCGTCGTCCGGAGCTTCCGCCGCTACGTCGTCATCCGTTTCAACGTCTTCAGACTCAAGCGCGTCGTTTTCGTCGTCGTCGTCCGACTCTGATGACTCTAGTGAGGAGTTTTCTCCCACGAACGACACGGTGGACGCCCCATCTGCTGAGGAAGGGTCTGTAAAGAAAGGGGAAAACTCCCCCGTATCCGCTCCGGACGACGTGAAGGTGGCGGCGAAAGGCGCCGGTCAGGAGAGCTCCCGCGAGGGGGGCGAGATGTCACCATCTTCGCCTTTGCGGGGCTCGGCGTCGCCACTTTCCCCCGTTCACTCCAACTGTGAGAACGTTACGAAGGCGTGGGTGCGAGATTGCTGCAGTGCGCTGCGTCTTTTGCCGCTGCCGACAGACGCAGCCGCCAGTAATGCCATGGCGACAGTCGACCTGGCGTCTTCCATGAAGACTGCAGGGATGCTTCTCGCGATTCTCCTTCCACCCGAGGACGCCAAGCCACTACCACTGGAACACTTCATAAATATTGCGAAAACCTATCATTTCGCGACGGACTTTCTGCTTGGGGAGTCCCTAGTAGAGACTCAAGATAAGCTCCTGACGCTGTTTAAAGGCGTGGTGCGTGTGAAGCTTACCGTTACGGAGGAACGCAAGCCACCAAGGCTGCTCGGCGGCTCCAGGGTAGAGGTGACGAAGAAGCAGGCTCTGGTGATGTGTCGATATGAGCGGAAAAGAGACCGTGAGGCCGTCTCGACCCATCTTCGCTTGCTCGCCCTTCAGTTCAACTACTCCATCGAAAACCTCCAGCGGGAAAGACGCCTCGCCTCCAGTGCGGAGGCCGGCACGCAAACCGCCGCGCCGCGTTTTGTCCACGCTGGCGTCGCCACCGACCCTGCTGTCATGGTGAGTGCGGGGTCTAGCGTCGCCACATCCAAGGATATTATAGGGAAAGACACGAAAGCCAAGCGAGACCTCGAGAAAGATCTGGGAATCGGGCACGAGAATAACCAGGAGGCCCAGCGAGCCTCTGAAAGTGTAGATGCCGAGGAATGGAGACATCATCTCAAGAATGCGGAGGGTAAACTTCTTAAATCGAAAGAAGCCACAGAGGATGTGGATGATCAAAAAAATCACCGAGATGAGAGCACCAAGGAGTCGGATCAAGCTAACTTTAGTGTGGGTGAGGGGTCGTCCGTGCCGCTCGCCCAGCTGCCCGGTGCCTCGGCGGCGATCCAGTCCCTGACAACACCGGACTTTCCTGCCTTTCCGTTCTCTGCCATAAATCCACATGCGGCGGGTGGGAGCACTATCTTTACCAACCCTCCCCTCTATTCTTCGGGTAAAAGCTTTAATTCTCACGCTGCCTCGTCTCCGTCTGGGGGGTCCATCTTCGCGGCACCACCACCAACCTTAGGATCGACGACCTACGCCTCTTCCGAGCTACCACAGAGTCGCCTCACAACGACGACCACCACTGGTGGTTTCTCTACCACGCCATCACTGCGTGGTTCGATCTTCCCAATGCCTGAAAACTTTCCCGCGAGGTGGCCAACTCAGGTTAGCACGACGACTGCTTCGCCCCTTGCCGCACTCGATCCTTCAACGATGATTTCAGCCTTGGATCCCGCGATGACGCATGGGCATACGGCACCCCCAAAAAACACCCCCTCCAGTGGAATGACCGCAATCGGTGAGGCAGTGTCGCCACCGGGTGGCTCACGTAAGTTAGTGTTCACCAGCTGCATTATTCCGACCAACAACCTTACTTTTGCGCAGCAGATTGATCTATTGAAATTTCTCGAGTCCATGCCCCTCTTCTCCACAGACGATAAAACCTATGTGAAACTTCGCTCGGCCGGCATTTTTTGCACGTTCCCAAGCGCCAAGGAAGCCGAAAATTTCTATCGGCTTCAGTACATCCTTCATGAGGGCGTCCGCCACCAGATTTTTCCCGTCAAGGACGTGCCGCCAGGGTTGAGCCCGCCGCCTTGGAAGTCACACACGGAGTTGCCATCGACTTCGGAGAACAACAATTCAAATGTGGAATCTAAGGGTGGTGTTGGTAAGGAATTAGCACCCAACGAGCAGTCAGGTCATTTACAGCTCCGCGAAGTGAGTCCTGGGCACCACTCCCATGCGCATTATGATGAGTCCTTCGGGAACGACAGGAGAGAGGGCCGTGCTGGAAGAGATAGAATACATGGTATGAATAGCAAAGATACTAAGACAGATCGAGAGAACTCCTCATCATCCCGCCATCGAGATAAGAAGAGAAAAGACGATGAACGGGATCATCGAAGCAGTCATAGGCATAGTCGACGACACGATCGCCATCGCTATGATGAGTGGTCTCCGCCCCAGGGTCCCCGTGCGGATCATATCTCTCATCGCTCCAACGTTGAGAGTGGTAATGCCCATAGCGACAACAAAAATGATAATCGGAAAGATGAAAATCCTGAGGCCAAGATGTCGCACAAGGGGATGCGGTCGAGTAGTTCTCAGAGGGGTTCGAGGCGCGAAAGCAGGTCAGACCGACACGATGAAGAGACGCTAGATGATCAAAAGAAGAAGAGAAGACGCATAGACCGTTAAGTATATTTCTCTCATCTTTCTTTTTGTCTTCTTTTTACGTGGTCTTGTACTATTTTTGTTTAAAAGAATGATGACACCGTGTTCATGGACTTGATAACATTAAGATTTTTTATTCCTTCAATATTGTGTAGCACTTATTCATTCGCTAACGCGGTTTTGAAGGGTGACTAAAGTTGAAATCACAAAGGTCAAGTAGCGCAGTATTGAACAGAAAAAGGAAAAGCATGTGTGATGCAGTGCTATTTGGGCTGGACTCCTAATCTCTTTTCGAGGTGGATACTTTCCTTTGATTATTTTTTTCTTGTTTTGGAGAGTTTTTTTTTTTCACTTTGGAATTCACCTTCCCTTTAAGGGTGGAGGAGGAATCTAGCATTAACAGCAACTTCAATATTATAGACATGTCGGAGGCAGTTCCGACTGAGCCCCACGCAGTTGAGCCCAGCAGCGTCGAGGCACCCATAACTGAGGCCACCGAGTCCACGCAGGGAAGGGATTGCAACGGGTTAGCCCCGGATGCAGGGAAGGATCTTGACGCGTCTCATGAGACTTCAGATGGGTTTGCTTGGCCTCAAGCGCGAGGTTGCCTTCTTGTAGCCAGCGTTGCCCTCTTTCAGGAGGTGGATCACAGCGGGTTCCGCTGTATAGTAGCATTCTCGGTGTTGACCGCTCTAATGGTAGAGAGCCTTGGTGGTATGTGTGCGCTTCAGTGTTATTTTTCTTAATGATGTAAGGAAAATAAAACTGAGCTAATGAGAAATAGTCGGAGGAATTGGTTGTCCTCACCGAGGTCAGATGTGTATGCATATAATGCGTCATGCATTGTATTTAGACATTTTAGAATGTGTATTCTTTTATTATACGTGGTGCGCAACGTCTAAAAAGAGTTCATTTTTCTTTCCCAACCCTCTCTCATCCTCTATTTTTCTCGCTTGCCCTGCTCTTTATGATTGCACTTCCACGTTCAGTTAGTTTATCACTTCTATTCCCTTGATTTAAATCAATGAAAACTGTGGCCCTCCTCTCCGGTGGCAAGGACAGCGTTATGTCTGTGCTCATGGCAATTCGGCATGGCCACACCCCTGTCGTCATCGCGAACATGGCGCCCGAGAAGGAGGTTCATGAGGTCGACTCTTACATGTATCAGACGGTCGGCCATGAGGCGATCGAGGACCTCGCACGCTGCCTGGAGCTACCCCTCCGTCGCTCGACGGTGGTGCGCGGCCAGGCAAAGGATCAGACCCTCCTCTACACCGACACACCTCCCGCGGACGACGAGGTCGAGGCGCTTTACCGCCTCCTCAAGACCATCCTGGCAGAGTTCCCCGAGGTGCGCGGGGTGACCAGCGGCGCGATCTTGTCGAATTACCAACGTAACCGCGTTGAATGCGTATGCCGGAGATTAGGCCTCGTTTCCCTGGCTTACCTCTGGCATCAAAAGGCGGAGGATGTGCTGGACATGGCGGAGGTCCTGCGGGTGCGGGCTATTATCGTAAAGACGGCTTCAATCGGTCTCGATCCGCAGGCAATCCTCGGAAAGACGCTCGTCGAAGCTCGTCCGGCTCTCGAAAAGGTGGCGATCGAGTATGGGACGCACATGGCGGGTGAGGGGGGTGAGTTTGAGACCTTGGTACTTGATTGCCCCCTCTTCAAGACACACTGTTTGCGTGTAAAGGAGCAGAGATTGGTAATGGTGGATTCGAATGCGTATGCCCCATCGGCCCATCTCGTGCTTCGTGTCGAGCAAGTCGAAAAGACCGAGGAGGAGAGGCGCGCCGATGCGGAATTACTTCGCAAACTGCTCAACGGTGAGATTTCTTTTCCCTCCGATCGTACAACCTTTATGACACGTGTTGTCGAAGGGGTTCTCCCTGCGTGGCATCACTCAGAGCCTACCACCATAACACATTCCCCCCGGGTTGATAGTGGTGTCGACATGTATGGGAGCAAATCCTGTTCGCAACTTGTCTTGACATCCTCGATTATACTGACCACGAACGAGGAGGTAGAATGCGCGGTTCACGAGGTTTTAGAGCGCATCCGCGCCTTGCTGGGGGATGACCAAGCTTTGGTCCACGTAGTTGCCTACCTTCCCAATCTCACCGAGTTCGAGAGTGCATTTCGGGCAGCCTATGAGGTCGCCATCTCCCCGATCGGACCACCTTGCCTTACCATTCTTGGAATTAGTAGGGAGGTCAGTACGTCCCTATGGATGGAGGTGATGGCCATACCTAAGCCTAGTTCAGGTGCCCAAACGCTTAGCAGGGATGTGTTGCATGCTCAAAGCCGTAGCAGTTGGGCCGCTGGGTCTGCCGGGCCATATGCCCAGGCATGTCGCGTAACTTGGCGTGATGGGTCCTCCCGAGTAATGACCAGCGCGGCCTTGGGACTCGTTCCGGAATCGTGGGAGCTTGCTGAGGCATCCGACCTTGTTGAAAACTTCCCTGACAATTTTGGTGCGCGCGCCATGACTACTGTGACGAAAACATTCATTGCACAATTCGTTTATGCAGTTTGGAATATTATCGGGTACGGAGCTGTTTATCGGAAGAATCTGCGCATGTGCACGCACGTGACGGTTTATGTGTGCACCACAGTGGTTGACATGGTGGACGTGGCCACCTTGGTTCCTGCTCTGTGGGTGTGCTGTTCGGAGGAGGAGTGGAAAAAGGTAACGGGGCGTATTCTTACAGTAGAGACGCTACCTCGCAATGCTATGGTACAGATTTCGGTAGAATTGTGTGATGAGGCGGTGGTGTGAAATACCGCAAGCAGCCCTCACTAGGGTTGTTTATGTACCCTTTTTTCTGAATTGGCAACGTATCCAAAAGGTTTTGCATATACTCGTATCATTTGAGTTTTCAGCATTGCATTCTAACCTACTGCTCAGTTACCGTGGCATTTTCTTATTCTAGGCGCTCCATGCCAACTACATTTGCTTCTCTTCTGAGCTCAAGTATGTGCCGTAAGGCTAACCTAATTATGTTTCCTTTAAGTTTCAGTCATTCCTTAATCTTAAAAGGAACACACACCAATAACTTTTTTCGAAAAAATGTCGACACACCGCTTTATCTGCCTTCAGAAGCAAATTGTACCTTCAAAAGGTGGTGTATCTTTTGTTGAACTACGGCGTCTTATTTTTTGCCCTTACCTCTTTGAAAGGCTTTGGCTCGCATCTTTTCCCCTTGAAGGGAAAGTAAAGATTATTTTTTTGACATTTTTTATCTTCAGGGAAATTGGACTACAAGACGTGAAGTGCTAACATAACCACAGTAGAAAAAGTCACTTGATATACTGGGCAAAACACTTTTAGTTCACCTTTTGAATAATATAGTATGCCCGATTCTGCATCACTATGCATTTTTATCAATGGCGCAAAGTTTCCCCTAATGGATGATTATCGCTTTCCATTGTATTATTACTTCCCCGAGGGAACGGTTTTGTTCGACCCGAGCTACATCCCACCCATGCGTGTACCCTTGGGGACGGCCTCTCAGAACCTCGGTGTGACGCTGCGCAAGTTGCTCCCCTTTGGTAGCTATGAGGCGTACTACGAGGACTCGACCACCGGCGCCCTGCACTTGAAGTCGATGAAATACGTCTGTTTGTACGTCGATAACCTTCCCGATAGTACAACTCCCGAGGTGCTGGGTCGATTCTTCGAAACCTTCGACTTGGTGAAGGAAGCGAACGTGTTTCGCGGTTGGGATGGTCGTTGTAATGGTCGAGGTTGGGTGATGTTTGAGGACCCTAGCAAGCTTCTTCTGGTGCCTCGTGTCCTCGAGTTCTTCGCTGGTCGAATCATCTACACTGCACTTAGTGACCGGGAGCCGACCCCAACACGCCGGCACCCCCTGATCACTCCGCCGCCCCGCGAGAAGGCCACGCCACCGGCTGCTGAACGCTTCGTCGCTCTACCGGAGGCGCCAAAGAGGCCCCTGAATTCCAATCTCCCCTTACCCCGCAGCCGGAGCTCTGCGGTGACGCCGCCGTCCCCGTCGAATCCTCAGGGCGATGCATCCGCACCGACGCGCGCGAAGGCTCCTGAGGCGGTGGGGAAGGCTTCCTACCTCATACTCCGCCTCTCTGAGGCGGAGGCCGAAGTCGCCGTGCGTGAAAACGAGCTGTGGATTCCCCCGGAGATGGCCCTGAAACTCCACCGATTGGGGCCGAAGGGTGGGATAGGGTCGGTCTTCGTCTTTGTGCTGCTTTACAACCGGATGCTCTTTGGGTGTGCGCGCTTCTGCACCCCCCTCCCGTCCCTTAGTGAGGTGAAGAGTCCATACCCCATCACGTGGATTCATAAGTGTCTCTTTCTGCATGAAAACGTCCTTGATAAAGTGGGCGGACAGGCTTTGTTGAGGCTTGCAGACGGTTCTTTCGTGAAGCCGGTCCTTGCCTTGGCGCTTTTCGAGCTGTTGGACGCGCAGAAGGTTAGGAAGGGTCAGCCCAGCCCCGTGTACCCCCTCAACACCGCTGGCGGGTGGTTCGCAGCGAGGGGGCGAAGGGGCGGCGAAGGGGGGTTTGGCGTGGACGGCCGGGGGCGCGGCGGCAGGCGAGGGAGGGGCTTCCTGCACGACCCTTTCCCCGTCCAAGCGGTCCCGGAGCCGCGCAGTGGCCGTAGGCGGACTCAACTGGAATCTGGCGACGCCGACGTTGGCGGCGCGCCTGCGGTGCCCTCGCCAAAGGGTGGGTCGAGTATTCCGTCTCCAGCCAGTCAGCGCGCGCAGGTGGCATCGATACCTCGAAATACAGAGGCTGCTTTGGGTTCGCCTATCGGATTATCTGGAGGGAGCCCTGGCGAAGCCTCATTAGGGCGACCCAACAGTTTTTATGAGGGCTCAAAACTATACAAGCGAAAGAAAGACGCACGCACACGTCAAGCTTCTTAGAGTTGACAGTTTCATCTCTTTTCTTTCAAATGTGTTTTAGCAAATATTCCATCTTGGAGGTTGGGGGATTCTAGAGGGAGGCTTGTTTTGCTTTGTGATAAATTTTTAAAGGAAGATATGGAGAAAACGTTTATTGTAACATTTTCAGCTTCTGTTTTTCTCTTTTCTCAATTAAACAAGATAATCTTATTCACATTATTGTTAACCATCATCACGACGTGTGGACTTCGTGTGTTAAATACTACTAGACCTAGTTGATTAGCTTTTGTATAGAAGCACTTGAATGAAAGGTTTGAGATTCAATTTACTTTGACTGGAGGAGTAGCATAGAAACTTGAGGACTTAGGCTCTATGAACATTTAGTTTGTTTCTTTTTGACCTAATTCTGGCCAATTTTCTCTACTATTTTCTCCCGTTTCTGGTACCCATGTCATTGTGTGTATGGGTGTAAATTAATATGCGTTCAATCGAGAAAATATGTAATTACCTCTGTGGTACCCATTTAATTCTTAAATTATCCCGAGTAGAAAAAAAGAGCCGATTGGAGTCCAAATATCACTACCTTCTTTAGCTTCTTTCTGAAACTACCTTTATTCTTTTGCTAGATGTGCTATGAAAGACATCTTTTGTATCCTTTCGGATTAATAAAGCATATAGCTTTTCATCTTCCCGCTTCAAATCGGAATAAGGACAAAGATATAGATTCCAGGTTATGCGCTCTCTAAAGACTATACGCTCTTTTTCGATCGTTTTATTTCAAATAAAGTAGGTTTCTTACTGTTATTACAAATCTATTCACTTAGATTCATTGCAACGATCTAATGAGAGCGTATTACTGCGCTTATCCGAGTGAGAACATCTCCTCTTCCCCTGGGCCTCAGATGGACCGAGACACTGAGAGCATTCAACAGGTAACGCGGGGGTATTACAGCTCCATGTGTACTATAATCGAATCTAGGGACGGACTCTCATCTCCGCAGATCAGCTCACTTGTTCAGTCCTGTACTGAGGCTGGTGCGGTCGGGATTCATGAAAACGACGGGCGCTCGTTTGCCACTTCCGCCGTTTCGGCAACGTTACAGCGATCATTTTTCGACTCAAAGGTGTCTGCAAAGGGGCGTTCCACACCGTATACTTCCGCATCCATCACTCCACAAAATGGCCCCCGATACTTTTCTCCAGTTGCAAGCACAAGTATGGCTTCTTCTGAAGCATTGGCGGATATAAATGATCTATCCCAGGGCATAGGTTATAACGACGGAGCTTATGGAACTGCAACAGCGCAACCTGAAGATGGGCCATTTTTTTTTAGCAAACAGCAATACGAATCGGAACTATTTGGGTTTGAAGGGATGCCACTTAATAGAGGAGGTGACCAAATAGCTGAGCCCAATAGTTCCCCTGCGTGCACTCAAAGATGCTACTCCGATCCTGGGTTGGACGACATAGCGTCCTCCCGGCACTCAGTCGAGCTTCAGACGAAGCTGGAGGAGGTATCGCGACGCTTGAATAAGCAGGGACAGCTTTTTATGAGGCGCGAGCGTGAGCTGCTCACGATAATTGAGAAACTTCGTCTGAAGGTCTTGGTTAAGGATCGAGAAGTGCATGCCATTCGAAGCGAGCTGCTGTCCACCGAGGACGAGCTACAACGCACACGTCATGGGTACAATCTCTTACAAACGTTCTGTAACGAGGATAAGCATTTCTTCCAGGAGTATACCATTAGCTTTTTCTTTGCTTTAGAGGAAACCTCACGGAGGGAGCGAATGGCGCAAGAGTCAAGTTGGCGAAACAAAATTTACTATGAACAAGCGAAAGCTTACGCGCGCCTTCAGTATCGCTGCGAGCTGTCTTCTAAGTGGCACAACCAGTTCGAACAGTGTAGCGTACCGATAGAGGCCGAATCGAGTCTTTTTCGCGACTTAAGCAATTCCCACTCAAGGCCGTCCAAGGATAACGACAAGGTTAACAGAGCCCCTTCCCACGCTGGACCTGAGAAAACATCAGTAGTGCGTTGTCGGTCTAAATTGCTGTCTGAGATGGCGAACGAAAAGAAGCAACTGCTTCTGCAGCTGTCTGAAGAACGAGGCTTCACGGCGGAGATGCGGAATGAAATTCATCGGCTCGTTTGGGCAGAGCTCAGTCTGCATGAAGAGGCTGAGAGGGCTGGGATCGAGAGGGATGCTGCCGATGCGTATTTATCCCTAGCTCTAGTATTCTTCATTGGGGTGAGGCCGGGACGCAATTGGATTTTACGCCGCATACATCCTCGACGGATGTTGGGATGCTTCTCACAAGATATTTTGGGAGATAGCGTCGATTGTTTTCACGCTTCTGAAACGCCCCAGAAAGGGGCGGGAGACGGAGACTCTGCGGTCAGTACTTATGGTGGTAAGGCGCCCTCGCCTGCGCGTGCTGCAGCGGGTGCGTCTGCCTCCACCCGAGGTACTTTGCATGCTTTAGGCCCTAACTCCGCTGATGACGGGACTTTTTCTTTATTCCAGCAGCAGCTTGCCTCGTCGTGCGGTGTTCAGAAGGACTTACTTGAGGCCGTCGCTCAGCTTAAGGAAGAGGTGAGAGAGCAGGGGAATGCCCTGCGGGAATATATTTCAAGTCTTCAAACGAGCTATTGAATGGCGTGGGCGTGCGTGGTGGACGGGAGGGCGTGTGGACCGTTTACCTCGTCCTAACCAGCAATGAATATGCCATCGAAACCTTCATCCACGCAGCGACTACCCTCTTTTGCCGTGTGTGAAAAGTTTCAGAATCCCATGGGCTCACACCCGGCATTATAACGGCGGCTGCTTTTCATCGGCGTGTGCATCGGCTGGTCAGGCCTTGCTTCATAGAGGCATTTCCTACACGGGCTCCGCTCCGTCAACTTTTGTTTCTTAACCAACCCCACAGAGGACTGTGCTAGTACACAGAGGGATGGCAGAGATGGTTAAAAGGTTCACATGTCGATAGCCTTTCCATGAGCATTGTGGGAGCCACAATTTTAAATTCACATGTAATAAATGCTTGAGCGCAAAGATTTGTGGCGCTTTATTTTTTATTTTTTCATTACTATGCACATACAATACATCACGTATACCATAGATATCCAGATCATGTAAATATCGATCACTTTAGATTTAGAACCGAACGGAAAGGAATGTTTTTTTTTCTCCATTTTAAGAACCGAGCGAATGCAACCAAGAGACCGCCCTGCTTTGATCTGCCTGACGGCGTTGTGTTGTCAGGGCAGCCGGGGTTGGTAACCGGCGAGGTGCCTTTTTGTCGATTTAAACTTTTTCATTGCTGCTTCGTTTTCCTGCTATCCCTCCTTGCGTTCCCCTCCTTGCCTTTTGGTTGCCATTCACCCCCCTAAGGGATAGAATCCATAGTTTCTTTACGTCGTTATCAACCACCAGAGCGCGCGTGGGCCGGGGCGATGGAATCGGTTGAGGGCGAAAAGCGCGCGCGCGGTGGCGGCCCCCCGTCGGACGACCGCGCGGCG